TGGAATTCCCCTAGTTTGCTAGGCAACAAAACTGAATGCAGGTCATTATCTCATTTGTACCCGTGGAATTTTAATCTATGTAGGTGACTAAGTGATGACATGGAGCGGTCAATGCCATTTACAGAAGAATTAACACTCACATTTCCAGAGAGGAGGGGCACGCCATGCCTTACAGGGCCACGTGGGGAGCACTAAGTTATGGTCAGGAGGCAAAAGCAGAAGTGAAAAAGTCGAGACCAAAACCTTAATTGGGGGTTGCGTGGGAAAGGCAGGGCAGGGCAGGGTAAACATTTTAGGATTAGCCAGCGTGAATCATTCTGGCAAGCTTTAGGCCTTAGGGGTGGTCTCCAATGGCCTGGTAACTTGCCCCTGGGATAACTTAGGTCAGGGAAAATATTGGTGAGGAGTGTGAGAGTTAGATAAGAGAATGAATAGTTGGAGGTATAGTCTCAAAATTGGTTGGTTTGCATACAAAAGGTATATTCCTAGGCAAGTTGTTATTATAATTGGGAATTAGCTAACCTTGGGAGATGCAGTCTCTCCTTGGGTCTGGTAGGCCCCCAAAATATTAAAACATCTTTAGGTACAGAAAATAAAAAACAGGATGAGTTACAGTTCGTGCTATTTTCTACTCATCCCTTAGTCACTTAGTACTCTCCTATGGTTTATAAAAATTACATTTTCATTTTATATATGCATTGTAAATAAACTTAGTTTCAAATTTTCATCTGCATGGAGTGTGGGGTGATTATTATTTTGCCTTTCATAAAAATAATTCTTTTAGACCCTGAAGTTCATGTTGAGTGACCAAGTATAAAAGTTTAAGGACTGGAAGGAGTCTTGGAAGTCACGAGGACCAACTCTTTCATTTTACATCTGGGGAATCAGTCATAAAAAATTATTCTGAGGCGTAATGGCTTAACTACTATTAAAATCAAACAGAATATAATTAAGCATGTAATTAAAAGCACTAAGAGCCACACTTAAACCAAAAAGTGGTCAAATGTCAGAGTGTAACTAAACTTGTTTTTCTTTTCTTGGCTCCTCTTCTCCAAAGTAATAGTTCAAAGTATAGACATCAGAAAGAACTCTCTGCAGATCATCAGAAGTTAGGAAAAAACTACAGGAATCTTTTCCAGGACAGATTTCTCTAACTGGAATCAACCTGCCTTCCCCATTGCAGTCAGCAGGCATTAGACAAAATCAAGACCATCAACCAGGCCAAGACAGCTAGCTTTACAGGTAAAATTAAGGCAAAGGCCCTCACCTGATAGACACCCATATGAATTCCTATCAGAGAAAAATGAACCACTCTGTTCTAGTTTCCTGTTTTGTTTTGGGTTTAGCCCTGCTTAAGAATAATAATGGTTGAGATTACATACACACACACACACACACAGGAATAATACTCAGCCATGAAAAAGAATGTAATCTTTCCATTTGTGAAAACATGAATGAACCTTGTGGTCATTATACTAAGCAAAATAAAGCAGTCAGAGAAAGACAAATATCCTATGATCTCACTTATATGCAAAATTAAAAAAAATTTTCATAAACAGATTGGTGATTGCCAGGGCTGGGAAGGGGGGGGGGGCAAAATGAGTAAAAGGGGTGAAAAAGCACAAACTTCCAATTATAAATAAATAAGTCATGTAGATGTAATGTACAGCATAGTGACTATAGTTAATAATATTATATTGCATCTTTGAAAGTTGCTAAGAGATAGATCTTAAATGCCCACAAGGGGAAAGAAATTTTTATAACCATAAATGGTGACAGATGTTAACTACATTTGTTGTTGTGATCATACACACACATATATATGATATACCTGAAACTAACATGTTATATACCAATTATATCTCAATTTAAATAAATAGCTAGCATAAATATTTTAAACGAATAATAATGGAAAAACAGCAAAGGCGGGCATATTAAATTTCCTTTTTATTTTAGAGAGAAAGAGGGAGAGAGAAGCATTGATTTGTCATTCATTGGTTGATTCTAATATGTGCCTGACCAAAGATCAAACCCCAAACCTTGGTGTGTCAGGAGCTACCTAGCCATCCTGGGATAAATTTATCCAGGAATAAATTTGGAACTTATTTTTTTCCCAAAGCTTGTTCAGCTGCTTGAGACTAATGGTAATGATGGTATGCAAAGAATTACAAAAAAATGAAATGGTAGACACCTAGGCATGCCCTTACCTGGAAAGAAATGTAGAGACTCTAATTACAGGGAAATGCCAGGAGTGCTAAGAATACCTGGGCTTATGATGATACCGCGCCTATTCATCCATCCTTCTGAAGCACTGAGCTCTGTGAAGCCATATAGACTGCCAAGAAACAAACACGGTCAGACAATTATAAGAAATAAAAATCATTTTGTTACTTACTTTTATCAGTAATACATGCACACAGTTTTAAAAAAAAATCAACTAGTCCTACAAGACTAGTTACAAAATAGGATGTTTGCTGTCACATTTCTGTAAGTAGGACACCAGCTGATAGTTATGCTAATTCATCTACCTTTCATTTATTCTTTGTCATTTCACAGATCTTAAATATTATCCATTTCTTTCTCTTTCTTCTTTTCCTTTTTTACATATAGTTACCATAATACCATGTACTCAGCATCTATGATGTTTAACCTATGATGTTTATCCTCTAAGCATTACTATCAACCAGGGAGACTTTGACCCCCAGAGGACATCTGGCAGTGTAGGAAGCGGTTATAGGGTTAAGCCTCGGACTGACCTGCTGGCAAAACCAAAAACAAGTCCCAGCTTGGAGGGCACAGCCCTCTAAGCATAATTAAGCTTGATCTTCTGACTGCTCCCTAGATCTTGCCTGGGTAGCTAGTGGGCTGTGGGAGGGGCAGCAAGTGCTGCCAAAACAAGGGAAACTTACAACAACATTGTAAATTACCTTGTTTACCCCTGACCATAAAAGAAACCATCAGCTTGCAGTCCGGATGTGTTCTGTGGCCTCAGCCAGACACAGATCTACCTAGATCCAGCTTTTTCTCTTTGCCTATCATTTCTCCATCCTTCGTCACCCCGAACCCTTGGCTGTGCTGGCACCCCTTGGCTGTGCTGGCACGGCACATGGCAGTGTCTGGAGACATTTTTAGTTCTTCCAAAGTGTAAATAGTGCCAGGGTTGAGAAACCCTACCAATGGGAATATGTTTATATGTACATGAACTTTCTGGGGCAGAGTCCATAGCTTTTTTTTTTTTTTCTCTCCATATTATCAAAGGTGGTATAACTTACAAGTTTAAGAACCACTGGCTTTAATAGATATTTCATCTAGGCCTTGGTAACAAATGACACATTAATCCCATTTCACAACAGAAATCACCTAAAAGAACTTCCTGCCAGCCAGATGGCTCTATCCCTTTCCACTGTCCACTCTCATTCATGGCTAAACAGACACAGCTCTTTGGATTTTCCCTCGGTAGGTCCTCCAAGTACCCCATCCACCTCCTCTTGGCCAAGTTAATACAATTATTTTGGCTATGGTGAACTATGGGTGAAGCTATAGCTTCATGGTATGCTAAGGAAAGTCTTGCTTTCTTTACACACATTCCAGGTTTGTTCAACGTCCATGTACTCAGCATCTATGATGTTTAACCCATGACCAGACACTGGGTACACAGTGATGACAATGAGCTTACATTTGAGTCCTGGAGAGAGGGTAACAAAAATGTAAACAGACAAGTGAAAACTGCGGCACAGGAGCAAAGGGGTAAAAAGTGGAGCTGAAGGGAGAATGAGAAGGCAAGATACGGCTGGACGGAACCACCAGATCACTCACTGCATGCTACCCGAAAGCAATTAAGCAGCTAACGCCTTCCCGGCTCTCAACCCAGGTATCTATGTATCTATCTATCTATCACCAAGCCCATCTCACTTGAAGCTGTATATAGTCTCAACAGACGTTTTCTGGGCGCTGGCAGGCAAATATGGCAGAGTGGAGGCTATGAGCAAGCTGAGCATGTCAAATGCAAAGCCTTCCTTTTCCCCCTGTTGTCGTAAGATCGAACCACAAAGCAACGTGTGTGCTAGGGGGTCGGGGATAGGGGATGTGCAGAATCAAGCCACTGTCGCAAATGGAATGCCGTTCCCAGGTTAAGTCAGCGGATGATCACCACCTTCACAAGCACCATCGCTCTTGGAAGATATCGGAAGACAAATGGAGTGGCCTGTAAAAATCAAGACACACACAAAAAAACAACTTAACCCTTCTCCCAGCTATTAGCAACCCAATGTATTTTGTTGGTAGTCAACCTAAACCTGTCCCGGGAGGCCTAGCCAGCCCGTTTCGCAGAGGCTACCTAGTATCAGGCTTTATCCGGACCACACCAGAAACCTCGGATTGGTCAAGTAACCGGGGTTTCCATGCCAATGAGGTCAAGGGCGGCCCGGTGAGAGAACAATGGCTGCACGGCCCCGTCCAAGGCCGCCCGGCCCGCCGGCCTCACTGAGGGCGGGGGCGGCCGCGTGCGCGGGTGGCCGGTGGCGGGTTCCCCAGTCGCTGACCCACGGCGCCCGGCCCTGGCGCTCCGGCCCCTCCCCCGCCCGGTGCACGTGAGGGCACCGAGGCCTGGCCGCCACCCGAGTAAGTGAGCGAGCGACTTAGGGAAACACGCTGCGGGCCGTCACCTGCCAGAACCGAGACCTCGCGGACCCCAGAACCCGCAGAAGGGGGCCCGGAGCGGCTAAGGCCGGAGGAGAGGTGAGGACACCCGGACGGAAGGCTACTTCCCCTGCAGTTCGCATCCCGCAGGGCCGGCCCCCCGCCGCCGCCGCCGCCGCCAGGCCCCGCCCCTCCGCGCTTATGTAATAGGGGAGCTCTGCCATTGGCCGGCGCGACCGGAAGAGGCGCAGGCGTGCGCGCGGGGCGGGGGGAGGAGCCTGCTGCCGGAAGGCGAGTGGGCGGGGCGACGGGGAGCGGGCGGGCGGGCTCGGGGCGACGACGGGGAGATCTCCGCGCGTGCGCGGGCACGAGGCTCAGTGGCCTTCCCAAGGCTAAGGCGGCGGCGGCGGGCGCGCGCGCGCGGCGGCGGCGGCGGCGCGAGGCGCGGGCTGTTGTGCTCCCGGCTCTCCTCTTTCCCCTCTCCGGTGGGTGGAGGAGACCGAAGCGGTGCTGGGCGCGCTCCGCACCCCTTTCCTCTGCCTCCGGACGCCTCCGCCCCCCCCTCCCTCCCGGCCCCTTCGCCCGGCGAGGTCTCTCCGACGCAAGCCTGTCCCGGCCCGGGTGAGCCGCCGCGGGGGCGGCGCTGACGCCGCAGGACGCGGGGAGCCGGGGTGGGCGTTCGCTGCCGGGGAACCGGTGGGCGTTCTCGCCAGCGGGGTCGGCGGGGAGGAAGGAGGGTCGCGGCGGATCGCGAGGGGCCGCCGGCCTTCCCCGCCTCCCCGGGGGGGGGGCGGCCGGGCTAGCTGTGCCCCGGCGCGGGCCGCGGGAAGGAGGGGAAGCCCGGCGCCTGCCAGGCCCTGCAGGTGGCCGCCGGGGCGCAGGCCGGCCGGGGAGCTGCGCGGTAACCTTACCCGCTGGCGACAGCAGCTGGCCGGTCGGTTTCTCGCCGCCGCCGCCGCCGCCGCCGGGTTTCCCCGTTGCCGCGGGGGGCCGGGTCTCCGGGAGGCGGGTCCCCGGGCCGGGGTCGTGGGGGGGGGTGGGGGCGGTGTGTGGCCCTCCTGGGGCTCCCCGAGGCGGGAGAGGCCGGTTCGGGCCGGAAGGAAGGTGGGCCAGCCTGCAGTGCACTGGGGTCAGGGAAGTGTGGATGACATATACCCGAGTCCTGATGCTTTCTCATCGTCTTCCCTTCCGCCAAAGGATGGAGTTACAAGCTGTGTAGGGTCTGGATGTTGGCCCCTGCACGGGCCTCTCTCGTGGTTTCAGATGGTTATGGAGAAGGAGCCTACTTCCTGGATCCAAAATCGCCTCTCTCTCTTTCTACGGATTCTGGTTTTGGTTTTAAGAGAGCCTTTGGGGGCAGTGCTTTACTTGTTGCCTCCCGTAAGAGCTTCTCCTTTCAAAGGAACTCGTTATTCTTTTTACTACTTCCCTCTCTCTGCAGCCCCTTCAGAAAGCTATACTAAATGAGTTCTATTAAATACCAGCCTTCAGGTATTGGAAAGGGACCTCTTTGCCCCTCTCTCTCTCTCTTTTCCCCCCCACATTTAATCCAGGAGCAGTTATGCTTAAGATTTTGTAGAAAATTCGATCGGCTTGAGCAAGTCCTAAATTGAACGGTTGTCCAAAAGCAGGTGGTCTGTTCGTTTGCATTCCTGCTTTCGAAAAGGAAATTGGTGCAGTCTCTGGTTAGAAGTGAGGGGCCTACCCCCACGAAGTTAGACTGTTTGATTCTCTTTCCTTTATCTGGTGTTAAGTTTTCCGTTTTTAGAAGTCAGGAAAAAGTGACCACAGTCTTTTTATTTATTAAAGCTTCTGTGACTTTTTGGTTCGTTTCAGATACAATGGAAAATGGGTTAAATCTATAGTGTAATGTAGTATTTTTAGGAGAAGTCATAAATACAAAAGTTAAAAAAATAATGTGGGCCTAATGACACTGCTTTGTACAGATTACTGCCTGAAAGGGTTATCAAAGTAGCTAATAACTTCTAGATATCAAAGAAACTTCTGTGGTTAGTGGCCTGCCATTTATGGGTTTTTCGCCACAGCACAATTAAAAGGTTACTCACACCATCAGTGTATTAACATACATTGCACACATTGCATGGAAGAGTTCAGATGCAGGAGAGGACTGGAGTATTCTAACTTAAGGCACTGGTACTAAGACACTGAGACATGACAGCATTTGTGGGTACATAAAGATTGAATACCTGTCACCCAAATACTATGCAAGTATCCAAATCTATTTCCATGGGGATAAGGATTATAAGCTTGCCATATCATTTGAACCTAAATGCACTTAAAAAAAAAAATCATTCCAAGCCAAATGGCCTAAAATTTTTGGTTTAAAAAAACACAGAAATGCAAGTTTAATCGTCAACGACTAGCACATCTAGTAATTTTTGCCATAATTTGGTAGGAATAGATTCTTCTGTTAGCTAACATGCTAAACATTTTTGTAACTTGTTAAAATATCCAACTGACTTCTTAGAAAAGCACTGGTTCTCCTCTATATTTTATTTGACTTTGAGTTTTTAAAGCTGGAGAGAACTTATCCAATTGGTGTGTTTTTTCAGTTTCCCTTTGTGAGAGAAGCTCAGGCATTTCTCTGCTTTGACCTTACATTCATGAACTATTTAGGGTTCCAGCCAGAAAAAAAGCCAGCACTCCTTTCCGGTGAAGTAGAGGTAGAGCCGTTCTATGTTCTTGTCCTGCAATAATTTAAAAGCTTAAAAACTTAGACCAGGCAGTGTGGCTCCGTGGTTGAGCATCCACCCATGAACCAAGGAGGTGGTCACAGTTTGATTCCAGGTCAGGGCACATGCCTGCGGTTGCTCAGTGGGGGATGTGCAGGAGACAGCTGATCGATGATTCTCTCATCATTGATGTTTCTATCTCTTTTCCTCTCCCTTCCTATCTGAAATCAAATAAAAATATACATATTTAAAATACAAGTAAAAATAAAAGTTTAAAGTTTATAGTCCACCAGTAGTAGAAAGTGGTATCTTTCATTTTCATTTTAGTATCCTTACCCCTTTTATAAGGGTTATGCTCTCAATTGGGAACTAATTTAATCTTATTTAATAATTTGTCCAGTAATCCTGCAAAGACCAACTTTTAAGAAAGACTTAGAATAGCACAGTAGTTTGATGAAACCTAAGTATTTAAGAGAACAGTTCCCATCTCCCTTAGAGGCATTAGATGACAGCTCTTATTTCTCTTCAAGTTGTAAGTCTCAGATCACAACAGTGAATACTGGAAGGGGAACACACCTCTGCAGAGCGACCAAATGATTGAGGAAGGAGGCTAAACTTTTTTGTGTGTGTGTGTAAATTCATAAAGTCCAAAAATATTAGGTGTATATGTATATAGCTCCGTGATTTTTACAGGTGTACACACCTGTGTAACCATTACTCAGATCAAGATATAGAACATCAGTACCCCCAAAAACCCCCTCCTGCTCTTTCTTCCCATTCACTACCTTCCAGGTTAGCTTCACCTGTTTTGAACTTGTTACAAATATATGTTGTTTGTTTTTGGGTGTCTTCCCTTTAAAACAGATGTAATGATGTTTCCTGTAGCATAGTTTCTTCTTTTTGATTGCTGCATAGTATTTTATTGTATAAATATACAAGTTATCCATTTTACTATTAATAGACATTTGGATTACTTCCAGTTTGGGATTTTTTTTTCTATTAATAGACATTTGGATTTTTTCCAGTGTTGGAAACAGTAGCTCTGAATATTCTGGTACTGTCTTTTGATGAACATACATTTGCATTTCTGTTGGATATATACCAATGTGGAATTGTTAGGTTATAGCTACCAACAGTTTTCCACAATGATTGTACCAATTATTCTCTAGTAGCATTGTATGTGAGAATTTGAAAACCCATACATTTTTTTAACTTTATTGTTGAAAATATTAAAATGTTTCTCCCCCCACCCCCCTTTTTTTTTTCTCATTGACCCCTTCTAGCCTGTATCCACTCCTCTACCCCAGGCCTTCATCACACTATTGTCTGTGCCCATGGGTTATGAAACGCCTACATTTTGATTAACAACTGTTTCTATGAAACCTAAGCTGTCAACTCTGAGACTATTATCATGTTTAGTTTACTCTTTATTCGAGTAAATAAATCACTCTAATGCCTCAACTTCTGTTTTTAGACATGGCTCGCGGACAGCAGAAGATTCAGTCTCAGCAGAAAAATGCCAAAAAGCAAGCTGGACAAAAGAAGAAACAAGGACATGACCAAAAGGCTGCTGCCAAAGCTGCCTTAATATACACCTGCACGGTCTGTAGGGTAAGGGAAATTGAAAGACGGCTTTCCCATGCACAGTTTTTCATTAGAGATTGGTTTGCAATCATGGCAAAATAAATGCGTTACTGAGAGAGTAGGTCCCATCTTTCATTCAACAAATATTTTATTGAATGGCTCCTGTGGCCAGGCTGTTTCCAGGTGTTGGGGAAAGGAGTGAACAAAGCAGAGTTCCTTTCCTCGAGGAGAATAAAGGTGCCTTCTTAAGGGAAAACAGTACACTTTGAACTTTGTAAAGAAGTCAGGTGTACATTCTTAATTTAGAGCTCAGTAAAACTATGTAAGATACCAGTGAATAAAACTCTTGTTATGTAATTGGCTTTTTTTCCTTTCACTAGGTCCATACTTAGGATGTCTGTAAAACTAGAGTTTGTTCATATTGAGGGCTTTTACTAGAATTAATGTGTTTATTAGATTTGAAAAATAATTATAGCAGCTGCTATTGAGTGCTTTCAAGTGCCAGCCACTGATCCAGGTGTTGTGTATGTATGAGTCCACTAATCCACACAACAACCCAATGAGATAAAGTACTTTTATTACCGTGTTTCCCCGAAAATAAGACCTAGCGCATGGAAAGATAAGACATCCCCTGAAAATAAGACCTAGCGCAACTTTAGGAGAAAAAATTAATATAAGACATTGTCTTATTTTTGGGGAAAGGGTATATTTATTTTACAGAAGAATACATTGTCATGGGGATTATATCACTTGCACATGGTCATCCAATTAATGCATAAAAGAGCTTGGATCTTGCCTAAGGAAGTCAGTATAGTGTAATATTTGAGAGCTACAATACCTAGTACTAGGCTAATGATGATAGCAATTATCTATTATAAGCAGGCTCAGGACTTTTTAAAAGTTTACACATTTATGAATAAGGCCTAACTCGTTTTTTGTACAATTTTTGTAATTAGACACAAATGCCAGACCCTAAGACCTTCAAGCAGCACTTTGAGAGCAAGCATCCTAAGACTCCACTTCCTCCAGAATTGGCTGATGTCCAGGCGTAAAGTTGTTTACAGGTATTTGACTTTTTGTTGTTGTTACTGTCAGGCTTGTATACAAGAACACAATTGTTTTCTGTAACTGTGAAGTTGATTTTTACCTTCTAGCTGACTTTATTGCTTCCTATTTTTCAGTTAACTTTACAATTATTAAAAGTCCATTTTCCCAGACCATATTCTGATGAAATAGAAGTTCCCAACTACATAGAAGTTCTATTTTCTCTTGGGGGGATGGAGGGAGGCTGACCAACTCTGTTCCAAGAATGGAAAAGACACGTAAGCTTGAAAATAACTACAGAAGTATTGAGGGTCTTGCTCAGAGAAATGATGCAGACCAATGTTCCTGAGTGCCTTTTACAGGTACTTTAACAGTGCTTAGCAGAACTTATAAGTGCATTAAAATATAGGGCAAAATGTAGGTACAATACATTGTATAAACTTGGTAGTTGCTTGAAAATAATCAGGTTATATTTTCTGTATGGTTAGAGTTTTTTTCTCATAAATGGTTGTGATGTTGATGTGAGAATTTTTTTTTAAAATCAAAGTTCAGTTCATAAAATCCCATTGTCAGATCTATCAGACTAGCTTGGTAGCTTAGGCATGTGTTCTTTCCCTTAGGCGTTTGAAACGTATATACGTTGCATTTGTGCAATGCTTGCCTTCACAGAAAACTTTGCTTATGTTTTATAGGTGAATTCATGACACCTTTGACTCTTCTACTGTCTCAGACCTTAGGTAACAACCTGCAGCTGCTTTTCTAACAAACTGTTGATCAGCAAAAATAAAGGGGCTACAGAAACACTCATTTTTATGCTGTTCCCTTTGGGCTTCATGCAAAGACAATTCTGTGTAAATGTACAGTTGACTCTAATTTGGAAATCTGAAAATCAGTCCATCCTTGTTATAAAAATTTTTTACAATTGTAATTATATTGATGTTCATATTGTGTAAAATAACTCATTTAATAAAGTAGTACTTTGATTTTACAACATCACAGGATAAATGGTTCTAGAAATTCTGTTCTAACTTTCCACATTATTTGCCTTATAAAAAATCTAATGAATTCATCAGCTAGAATTGTAAGTGCAACTCTTAACTCCCTCTCAGCTCAGTTGCAGATTCGTTAAACTAGAGCAGACTCATTCATTAAATTTGTGAACACAGTTTTATTGGCAGCCGCTGATCTAAAAGAATGACTTACCTGCTGCCTTAGTATATTGCAATCATGTCATTTCCCCCTCTGATTGTTTGCTGTGTTTGAGGTTGGAATATTTCAACTTGCTATATGACTGTGCTGTAGCTACCAGCCAGGTATACCATGTAGATAATGTGATAAATTCCTAAAGCGGTTAGATCGGTAGTAAGCCCTTCTGAAAAACTAGGTTTTGAAGAGGTGTCATAATGAAATAATCAGTAAGCCTAATCATTTATTACAAAATATGATGGAACATGTATGAACTGGTAAAGATTTATCTTTTATAAATTGTGTTGGATTCCTTGAAATGGCTTCAAATTCTTTCATTTGAAATTGAAATGCATAATTTTGGAGGAGTTTTTAGAAATTAATGATTTGACCAATTCTGGAATGAATTTTGCATTAACAGGAAGATTGGAATAACTTGTGGCTGGGTTAGTTCCCAGAGTCTTCTCCCTCCGTTCCTTTTTGGGTCATTGATTTTAGGAGTTTATTTTGTGCTGCTTCCTAAAATCAAAGACTGTGTACAGTATGACTTCTGTCTAAACTAGAAAGTATTAAAATAGGCCAGTGTCTAGATTGATTTGGTTCCAGGGATGGGGAAATGGGTTGGTTCAGATGGATGAGGTAAAGGAGACTAATTTTAGGGTTCTTCTAATTTGCTTTGTCAGCTATTAACTTTACGAGTGAAACTGCTGTAACTCAGTTGAAATTTTAAAGTTAATATAATAGGAAGAACACTCAAATATTTCCTGGTAATTGTTTAGAACCACAAATCGGATCCTGTGGATTAAAAAATGCATTCTCTTTTTGTGCTGCAACTCACTGCTGCATCTGTTTTGTAGCTGTGCATATTCTGCCCACCTTATTTGTCTTCACTGTAAGTTTAAAATAAGGTATTTTCAAGGAAAATCTTCAGTGGTGATAGTTTCTTAGCAGTTCCTATTCTTATACTATTACTTTAATGATTTTTTCCATGTATTTAATTTCCTGAGTTTCCGATTTAATATGTTATTTCCCTATATGTTGATTACCAGAACATTAGAGTTTGCCTAATTGCTTGTGGTGGGTATTATAGAAGTTATGGTTAAATTACAATTTTAAAGTTTTTTAAAGTGCTTTGAACATATGTATCTTTATGTTTAGCAACAAATCACTTAAAAACCTCTTACAAGTTTTTGTTTAATTTTTTTCATTTGTTTGACTGACTCTACTTCAGAATAAAAGCTTTTTGTTCTTGTATTTAATTCTTTTTTATAAGCAGCTGACATCATATTTAACTATATTTCAGTGATGGGAATAGCTGCATTCTCATCCTCTATGTGAGGATTATTAGTACAATCCCCTCTTTATTGTGCTTGAGCTATATCTGCTATAAAGGAGAAATTAAAATTCTTAACTATCCTTGTTATTCAATTTGAAGATTCTTTAACAGATCCCAGCAAAGTTTATTATAAAACTGTTATGGTGTCTTCAAAGACTTGATAAAATATACTGTGAGAATTGGTCCATTGTATTCTGTATTTCCATTAGTTGCCAAAAGGAATGAGGTTAAGATTAAACTTATTTCCATTCTCCTTCGTATGGATCTACATCCCCTGTTTAACTGACACACTGGGAGCTCCATTGTGTGCTATAATGTCTTATTAAAGGAGATATTAAAGAAAACTAAACTAGTCTAATTTCTTCTATATTGTAGGGGTTTTTATAATGCCTCTTCTCTTAATTTTTTAACTTAGAATTTATCTCTGAGTTTAGAGCTCAGTAGTTCTAAGGGTGACGAGATTTCTTTTATTTCCCCTTTTTTTTCTGTAGTCTATTTTGGATTTATAGACTATTCTTAAAAACGGAAGAAGGTTGTAGTTCTGAAACCTCACTCTATAGAATAAGTTATTAGAAGGGGGAAGTAATTGACTTAATATAAAAATAATACTAAAAAATGCTTAGGTCAGTTCATTGAATTGGATGGATAAGTCCTTTGTGACATTGACTCAGATTTGAGATAGCACTTTTGGCTTTATTTAAAATACCATATAGCTAATTACTTACATTATAATTGAGTTCTGAGATGTATGTCACATGGATAAGATAGTCTTTACCAACATTATCATTTAAACTATTGAATCTGAATTCATTTCTGCTAGATTTTCATTTTTGTGGTAGTTTAGGCTTTGATTTGGTTTTGGTCAGAGATACATCATTTTTGGAGTGTATAACAATGAAGATCAACACTAGGGGGTTGTGTTTACTGTGACTTTACATTCTGAAATCTTCCAGACTAGCCTAATTTTATCTATTGTAAAAGTTTTAGAAAAATCTTAGGCATTTCCCAATGTATAGATTTAATAAAACATCTGTCAACTTGACTGAAAAAATAGATGTTTTATTAATAAAAGTTTATCCTGTCTTTTATTGTATATTACCTTATTAAGTTGAAAATCAAATGTCTTCTATTTTAAATGTTCTTTGGATAAACTATTTACTGAGTATACCATCTTTGGGGGAGGGGTTTTGTTTTTTGACCAACCATTCTTTAGCTCTAATTTTGTACTTAGTATGGCTTCATATTTTAAAATCTGCATATGTAGACTTAAATTCTTTATTTATGTCCATATAGGCATATCTACCATGTGAAGTAGTTTTGGTAAAATCAGTATTTTTAATCATTTTTTATGTATACAACATATTTTTCTATACATATTAATAATAGCTTATGGTTTGTATAGGCCACATAGGTACCTCACCTTATCACTGTTTACTGTCTTAAAATTGAGAATGTAGCTTGTATTTTGGATTCTTACTAAAATTTTAATTACTAGGAAGGAAGCCATTATATTTCCTGTATAACAGTATAATGGTGTGTCTCAAAATGAGGCCTTAATAGCTATGGTGACCATACATCCTGGTTTGCCAAAGACAGTCTTGGTTTAAGTATTTCATATTAAACATTAAATTAATATTACATAGTAAGGAAGTTCATTATAAGTTAATATTACCTCCTTTTATTCACATGTGTCAGTTTATGCCAAGTAACTGCTTTTTTTAAAATGTAGCCTTAAAAATACTCAGAAATTCTTACTCATTAAATGGGAACATGTGATACTTAGCAAGGTTTGTCTTTTAAAGTCCTTGAATCTATTTTTATTTGTTATTTTAAAACTCCTAACGGAGACTTAAATATCTGGTAAAATGAACTAGATACCCAAAACTTTGAAATACCTGTAATTCACAGGTACTCATATAAACATAGTGTTTGTACCAAGTTCATACTTTTGTTTTCTATCATCTTTACTCCCAAAGGACTTAATGGAAAATGGCCAGTTGGGATTAGAGGTATTGCTACCTGTTACTATAGAACACTTAGTTAGGAAGGAAGGGAAATCAACATTGGCTGCAAGTTAGATGTCTGCTGGGCTAATAGTATTAAAAACTTAGGGTAAATCTTTTGATTTTGATACAGAGTGCTTCTACATATTTGATTTGGATCTCTGAAATTTTTTATAATTCTTAATTTTGGAGTACTTTTAGACCTACAGAGAAGTTGCAATAGTAGTCTAAAAGAGTTCTTGTGTCCCCTCACTCAATTTCAGTTTTTCCCTAATGTTCTTTTTAAAAATATGTATATTTTTATTGATTTCAGAGAGGAAGGGAGAGAGTGAGAGAAACATCAATGATGAGAGTGAATCATTGATTGGCTGCCTCTTGCAAGCACCACACTGGGGATCAAGCCCACAACCTGGGCATGTGCCCTGACTGGGAATTGAACCGTGACCTCCATTCATGGGTCAACACTGAACCACTGACCCATGCTGGCTGGCCTTAATGTTCTTTTTTATTTTTTTAATAATTGTTTTTTTTTCAATTATAGTTTATATAAAATATTAATTTCAGGTGTACAACCCACACCTAATTCTACTGTTACATAACTGTATTGGATTCTTAAGAAACCAGCATTGGTGTGTTAACATTAACTCATTTGTCTATTAATGGACTTTTTCTGTTCCACGATCCAATTCGGAATGCTACATTGCATTTAGTTGTCATTTCTCCTTGGTCTCTTGTGGTGTGTGATGGTTTCTCAGTCGTCTTTTTGTTTTTCATGACCTTGAAAGTTTTGAGGTGTAGGGAAGTGTGTTCTGTAACAGTGGTCAGCAAACTGCGGCTCTCGGCCCATTGAGTGTGGCTCTTCCACAAAATACCACTTGCAGGTGCGCATGTACAGTGCGATTGAAACTCCGTGGCCCATGCGCAGAAGTCAGTTTTCGGCCTGGGTGAGTCTATTTTGAGGAAGCGGCTTTAGAACACTCAAGGGGCCAAAGAGCCACATGTGGTTTGCGAGCCTAGGTTTGCAGACCACTGTTCTAGAACATCTCTCAGTTTGATTTGTTTAGTGATTACATTAGGGTGATAGGTTTTTGGGAAGAAGACTGCAGAGGTGAAGTGCCCTTCTCATTCACCTAGCAGGTGCATGATCCCCACATGACACATCACTTGATTAAGGTGCTGTCTGCCAAGTTCTTCACTGGAAAGTTACTGTTTTGTTTTTTTTTCTTTTCATGTGCTCATTTTTCATAGTAAGTCTAACCCTTAGTCAAGGGGAGTGGGGATTTAGCTCCACCTCCTGGAGGGGAGGGGTATATCTACATATGTATTGTATAATATATTATTTGGAATTCAGAAAGGAAGTGCTATAAGAAGCTCCCAGCTCACCTTGCGTTGTTTTCTCCCCCGCCCTAGATTGAGCCATCTCTTCAAAGAACCCTGATTCCTTTTATTGGAGAATGGTATTTAGAAACAAGATCTGGTCACTGATCTCCTTGGTCTCTTGTGGTCTGTGATGGTTTCTCAAGTCTTTTTGTTTTTCATGACCTTGAAAGTTTTGAGGTGTAAGGAAGTATGTTGTAGAACAGTGGTCTAGCCCTTGAGTGTGGCTCTTCCACAAAATACCACATGCGGGTGCGCACGTTCAGTGTGATTGAAACTTCGTGGCCCATGCGCAGAAGTCAGTTTTCGGCCTGGGTGAGTCTACTTTGTGGTGGGGCTTTTATGTGTGCTTTTTTTTTTTTTTTTTAATTATGAAATGTTGAAATTCTCCCCACTGTTAACAACTATTATTTGAGGGTTGTAGGAAGAAGAGTATCTTTATCCCAGATCTTTAGGGGTTAAGTTCTTTGGGTTTTCTACACATCATTGTTGAAGCATTCTCTTTTAAGTTCACAAACATATTTATTGAGAATAGTATATGTGAAGTTGCTTTATAAGCTATAAAGCATTACATAAAAGCAATTTATTGAAAAGAAATATTACTAAGTTTCTTTATCTATAGAAATTAAAATGCATTTTAGGAGATAGTGCATGCATATATCTATTTACATAATTTTAAGCTATATGGCTAAGTGTACAGACAATTTCTATGGAATACATCAGAGGGAGATGACTTATGGGTTGGAGAGTTGATTTGTGCCTGAAAGGATGGGGGAGGAGTAGGAGTGAATAGGGAATCAAAATGAGGATGGCTGAGTGAGCAGGAAGCTCAGTCAAGTACATAAGTTTCTTTGAGAGAGAGTGAGTAGGCCAGCCAGAGCGTAAGGTTTGTGAATAAGAGCCTTTGAGCCTACGAATGAGAGTGAGAGTGGGGAACGGTCCTTAGAATGGAACCATATTGTGTGATGTGTGCACACTGCAATAAATAGTTCAAATTATTCCTAACTCTATGAGGACCCTTTCAGGGTTTGGGGGTGGAGCAGTGACAAGTTAGGAAGATAAATATTTACCAGTGATATATATTCTGTTACTGTGAGATTTTTTTTTTTTTTTTTTTTTTTTTTTTTTACAAACTCTTGTACTTACCCTATTTTTTAAGCAGAGTATATCATCCATATAATCTAACCTCTGATTATTCAGGGTCATTATGCATGCAGATTACGGGCAGTAATTTGTTGTAAAGCAGTGATACTGCTAGTGCTCAGAGGGCTGTATTTGGGAGCATTTGTCTCTGCCCTCCATGGTCCCAGACTGCAGTGTCTCTAGATGGTATTTATTGTCTTCTGCTTTATTACAACAGTAATTCCTTTCCATCGCGTCTAAAAATTGGGAGAGTACAGTGAAGTTGAATTTTAAATATTTACCAGGAGAGGTAGTTTTTGATGATTATTTTCTCTCACACATATACACACATTTACATATGCATACATGCAAATACAGGGTTTCCCCCCAAAATGTATACACACTTTGGATGATTA